GAGATAAGTTTTGAATAAATTACATAAAAAAGCTACTAAAAACTTCTATAGTCAATATTGCATTTAAGATGCAGCTTAAATGGGTTAGAACAGTTTGCTATATCATTGGCAGCTAAAAGTATGAGCAAACTGTGAAATTCTTAAAAAGAGTAAAAGTAGATGCACTGTTACAAAAGACTTGATTAGCACCTGAGCTCCAAATTTCACAAGCAAATATTAACAATGAATCATAAACAGAGTAGGAAAGTAGCTTAGACACTGTAGAGCATATTCTACATTCCTACCCATGTAATAAGCTTAAGACCAAGCCAATGAAAATGTATAGTACTAACATAAAGTATACTGCTTATTGGTGTCCATCTGTGGGTTACCATAAGTGCTGAAATAATTAAGTGTTAGTGTGAATGTTCCGCAACAGCTACTACAGTTTCTCAGAAATTGCTCAAGTTCCACTTTAAGTCGATTCTCCATTAATAAATAGCACAAAGTAAAACATATTAAAGGGCTATGTAGATCTCTTTCAGTTTTGACCAGAAAATTCATAGCTTTAGTTTAGAGAAAAAAATACATAATGAGGAACACATGACTAAGCACAAAGTGAACAAAACTAAAACAAAGTATAGGTGCACAGAATTTTCCCCCAACAATTTCAATGGCTACATGCAAAACGTGGTAAGTAAAGCAGCTTCTCATTACAAGCACTGCAATCAATCTCAGCGTGGCTATGCATAAAAGAGCAATAGCCTATTTACAACAACAGGTGTGTCGCTAGGTTTACATGAGCATACTAGTAGACCTCATTTGTATACATTAGCTACGGAATTGCTAGCAAAACCCACACATCTCTCCCAAAATCGCATGCAAATTCATTCTTGCTAACACCCACATGATTAAGAGTGCTGATAATCGCTCGGAAACGTGGAACAACCTGTGGACTCTTCTTTCTTTCTCCTACCTGGCGATCATTAAGCTATGCCCTCTCGAGCTAAATAAACTAGCCTTGTTAGCATTAGCCGATAGCAGCTAAAGTCGTAGCATCTTAAATCCACATCAATTCTTCTACGAGCTCAAGAATACCTATGTGCTAAATATGTCATAATACAAGAATGTTCTTCATACCAACGTCTTTCACCGCCCTAGACATCTCCCCGTACCGCTCCCTATCATTGTGTGTGCAAGTGCAATGTCCACTTTGTATGAGACCTGCCCATGCTAATGTGATGATGGGAGGAGTCTGCATGCATGCCCCTCTCTGGCAGCAGTGCGAAAGATAAGGGACCCTAAGCAAAAGGTAAAGCAACAAGAAATCTATAAAAGCCATCAAATGTAGGCTTATGTATATGGGCTATTTACATTTGACTTCACAGTACAGGCCAAATATTAATAAATGAATACCTTTGCAAAGTATAGGGAATAATTTTATACTCAGTTTTGAAAAGATTCAGTGTTCATCACACCTCAAGTACTCACCAGATTTTCTCCTTTGACTGAGCCTCGTAATCTTTGAGCCAAGGGGAGCAAAAGCCTGCGTAACACTTCCTGGCCCTTTGGTGGGTTTCTGGTATTTGTCAAGCCACTCAAACTTGGGCACCTGGGCAGAGGCTTTGCACACATCTAGAATAAAACAGAGATACCAAATGTCAGATAATAGTAATGCATTGATCTTTTGTGGTGCTTCCATTTTGTCTCCTTATTATAGGGTTTTGGCTAACAACTTTGTCAAATTTGAGCTATTCATCATACATAAGCTATATGCCTTCTTGTTCTATGTATTCCCTTTAACCCAACAAATCTCAGAACTACATGGAACAAAGATGCTCAAAGATGCATTGATGTTATTTTTTCATTCACTGTCCAGTGACGGTACACATACTGCCCTGAGGCTGACAAACATGCAAGGGCTACCAGTACAAGAAGTATCTCACAACAATATAGTGACCCAAAACATGAATCTAAGCAATGCCATTAATGTCTCATCTCAACAACATAGAGTTAGCTATCATACCTTTAAAGCTTAAAAAAAACATTTAGGAAAAGCAAAGCAATTGGTGCCACAAACATCTATGGAACTTCCTGTAGAGTATGAATGCCAGAAAGAATGCCACACATCAGCTTTCTCAAGATAGCTATTTGTGACTCACGTTTCAGTTTGTATACCAATAATAGTACATCTTATTTTTAATTTCTCTACCTAAACTAAGAGTAACTCGTCAAACTGTTAAACTATTTTCTTATCCAAGATAAGATGGTCAGGAACAGTTCTAAGCAAAACATATAACCAAATACATTTATAAAAAATGCCTACCTTGAATCTTTTTCACACTCTGGCGCTTGACAACAGATGCTAGATTACTTGAATGTTCCATCCTTTGTATAACTCTCTAGGACTTTTTGTTGCCCATCATCAAGCAACATTTTAGTTTGTATCCATATTTTTGTAGAGCACGCTGAACAAAACCTGCTTAGGGTTCTACACATTCCTAAAAAAAAACAAAATGTAGACCTACTAATTCTTTAAAATTAATTTTAAAAAAATTGCGAGGAAATCCAAAGATCTTAAGAGACATTTTTTCCAAATAGTGTTTCTTTCGTTTCCTTTAGGCAAATGTTTGCTGCTACACTCACCTACTCACACCTTCAAACTCCTCCTTCTTTTGGAGTTTACTTGTCACCATGTGATGTCTTCAGAACATTCAGTCAAACCAAACTGAGGCAATATCAATACTATCTTAGCCCAAACATTGCACACATAATATTTTAATAACAACGGTGAATGTAATTTAAGTTTGAAATACTCAGGAAATAAACGTAAGTTCATTATGCAACCTCGAGGCATTGCTTGACTTGTTCTGCCGGTTTCCTGCTGATGGGTAATTCAGATAGTTTGTTCTATTTTGTCAGCAGGTGCTTTCTGTATGTAGTTGTAACAATCAAGACTGGTGGTGTAGTTATTACAGAGTTTTGAAAATTCTTATATATTGGTCACCCTAAATGTAGCAGTGTAATGATGATTTATTTGATTATGTCCAACCCTAAACTCACAATACTACATACCACTCCAGGCTCTGTTGATCTCACTGAGGAAGAGGCGTGACTGGGACCCAAAAGGAAGTCGGAGCTCCACTTCATATTCTAGAAAGCTTATTCTTATTCTTGTGTCAGCGCCTGTCAAAATATGCAGAGTATGCTTTAGTAGCCATAGCAACAACAAAACTCACATACAGTTTTGTTGTAACTTACCAACAACAGCGAGTTCTTCAGGGGAGGACACTTTAAAAACACATAATAACATCACATACAAACATAACAAGGTCAATGGTTGGGGCAGTGGGCTAGTTCCACTTCACCTTGAGCAAATGAAAGTAAATATAATAAAATATGAAAAACTCACCTTCTACAACTGCAAAGTCAGTTGATATTGGAATAATATCCTCTAGTGCAACATCATCAGCAGTTATGGCCATTCTCTTATGTCTGTACAAGAAGACTCTGCAAAACACCAGCATTGTAAGACATAAAGCCTACTTGGTTCAATGCTGTTTATTTAGTATTAATTTGAATTTAATCCAGATACAAAGAAAATTAAAATATACCATAAAATAAAATGTATTATAAGATACTCACGCATATTCCTTTCCTGATTCCACTAGCCCCAGCAGTCTACTTTCGGTCACATCATCACAGAGGATATCACATTGGACGGCATACTAAGAGTTAAGACACTAACAGCTGAATAGATTTTACACGTATCTAAAGAGTTAAGGCATAGATTAAGTAGATAATACACCATTTGTTTTTGTTTTGTTTAAAACTATTGTGGAGACCAAGAGAAAACTGAAAAATTAGTATAGAGCATAACATATTATAGGCTACATGAAAATGAAGGTAGACTACTATTCACCACCACTACAATACACAGGTACTTGTTTGGTATGGGTACTGTTACAAAAGTGCCATCTTGTGGCTCAGACACTTTACTACATCTTTTGACAAAAGACACGTCAAAAACCCCAAAGTGCTCGATGTGTCCAAAACTATAGAAAAAAAAGATGTAATCAGAAATTTGGATAAGTTAAACACACAATCTACTTTAGAGTATGCGTAATCTTAAACTGCAGATTACTGACAAAAATCAAACCAAGGATACTATACGGCAGCTTTCTTCCCTTTGCAAAGTTTCCTGAATAGCGACGGATTGGTCCATAGTAAAGACAATGATTTGACAGCTCTTCTCCCACGCTCGCAGTCTAAAATAGCCTGGAAGCAGCGGCGGTGTACCCTATACTTCCATGGTAGTAAAGGGAAAGACACGTGCGTCAAGAGCGCTGCCGAGGATGGACTGCATAATGTCACATAGTTCCCTTATCGATCCAGATGTGTTGTTGAACTTTTTCTTGTGGAGCTTCCTTCGCTAGCCCAGCCCGTCTCGAGCCGAGCTGCCACGCACTGAGTCACCAACGACGCTTTACGTCACGGAATGAGCTGCCAGGTTCGGCTGGGATTAGACCTCAAGGCACACAGCGGGGATTATATGTGAGGTGGATACAATCGGCTCTGCCAAATAAAGGCTGTGACCCTCGTGTACAAACAATCTAAATAAACAAAAAGTGAATCTGGACTACGACTCACTGGCAAACAAAACCGAATTGATTTAAGTTTAAATTAAATGACAGCATGGAATAAACTGCCTATATTGGCTACTGCATAAAATACAATATGCCTAGTAGTTCAGTTCCTATGTTGCGAATGCGAGAAAGAAACGTATATAATCAATTTTTTAAAGGCCCACAACTAGGCCTAGACCAGACTGTTGTTTGTTTTAAACATTATTATATTAAATTGTGAGAAATTAGTCATTTATGACTTTAATTTAACCCACATTAGCAGACAGCAAGTACCGAACAGGAATTTTATCATGAATATAGTTTATTAGATTTTACATTACATAGATTACATGCAGTGATGCAATCACTGTATTTTGTACAGTGCATTATAGGCTCCTAGAATTTAGAATATACAATTTAATCATTACATAACATAGGATTAACATATTAAACAAACGTTGCACATCTCAGTAAAACTGCTGAAGCATTACCTTCACAACACCTTAACCTGGAATATAATGTAGTATCTTATAAAGTGCATACAAAGTCTGTGCTGTGTTATTCTCACAATGGCTTCAATATAGGTAACCCATGCTGGTAGAAGTAGAACAAGTCCTGAATAAGTCCTGATTTATTTTCTTTTAAAACACTGTTCAAACCCCTTTTAACTTGGCCTTGAACTTGAAAATATTGGGAACAGAAAACAAACCAAACATCAACATAAATGCAATAAAATCCCATAGTCTATTTACAAATGAGTATAGTCTGATGTAAGACTCCTGTGGGTTGATATAACACAATGCATGTACCCTCTCACTTATAGCAACAAACTAATAGCAAAAACAACCAGAACTGCACTAACTACTTGTGAGTGCAGCTGGGGCCCTCTTGTGGCCAAAGAGGGGACATTCAGCGTGCCGTTGAGCCATAAGCATGAGGTCACAGTAGCGTTACAGCATTCGAGGTGACATGGAGGTTGTGTAGAGGCTTTGCAAGAAGTTTGCCCTGAACAGTTGGTGGTGCATCCAGCTGTCCACTGCAGGCTGGTGCCAACGGTCTCCTTTTTCAACTGGTTAACAAGAGCACAAAATTAAAACACAAAATATAAGAAGGGGTGCATAAAAACAAAATACAAATAAATTTTACCTGACAGTGTGGTTGTGAGGCAGTGCAAACCTGGGCTGTATTAAAAACTGTGTAGCAGTCTGTGCCATTGCATTTTCCAGTATGACATTTATTTCCCTAAAAAGCATGAACAAAAAGTTAGGGGGTAACTAGTATGATTTATGCTTTATTTTAGCAGACACTTACTCCTTGTGTGGTTGGGGCAGCTGTAGTGGTTGTGGTAGTAGTAGATATGGTTGTAGATCTGCTAGTTGTTGTCATCGCTACAACAATAATATAAATAGAAATAAATGAGGGGAAAATTATTCATTTTCACTCATAGTAATATTGGAGGAGTAATTAGGGTTGTAATAATACTGTAATATAGTTTGAGTAACTAAGTGGACAAAATAGAAATATGTAATATTCTATTAAAGCATTATAGATAGATTAGATAGATTAAATAGATTAGATAGATTAGATAGATAGATAGATATAGATAGAGATATAGATAGATATAGATAGATATATAAATAAAATGCTTTGCTATTTTGTATAAATTACCAAAGATTTTGTAGAACAATTGAGAAGACAGTCTACACACCTGGTGTTGTGGTCATCATCATGGAAGCAAAAGTATCATTGAGGCAATCGGTAGAATTACAGCAGTTGACTGAGCAGTTACTTTGAGATGTATTACCACAGCTCATGGAACAGGAGGCACTGCAGCTAACAGTGTAGCAAATGTCCATCTGTCTTATTAACTACCACATAGCAAAAAGACAATCAAGATTCACATTTGTCTAAGACACATCGGGAAATGAAAATACAATGATCTGATTCTGTTTACCTCACAATAGTCATAACCAGCAGGACACATGGTGGCGTTCTGACTCATGTACATAGAGTAGCAGTCTGAGTAATTACACATGAATGACGGGCAAGAAATCTATAAATTTGATATGAAATATGAAACATTATACTATACAGTTAAAGTTCATGATACAGTACAGTTCTAACTGAATCATTTCTTACATTGCTCATTGAATAATTACTCCATCCAGTGGTTCCAGATGCCCAACCTCCTGAGATAAGATTTTGTTAGTTTACTTTTTATTACTCTGGTAAAGGTTATGATTAGAGCTTACCAGTGTTGCCTCCCATACTGGCAGAGGACATACTGGGGTTCATGCCAGAGCTTGATGAGACAGGTGAAACACTGGGAGAGCCTATAAAAAAAACAAAACATTTTGTTTGTAAGAAAGAGCACAAATACACACCATTTATACCAAATGCAATTAATCTTGCAGCCACTCTACATAATATTTATGTCTGTATAATCCCTTAGTCACCCAGATAGGATCCATAGGATATATTTTTTTTATTTATTTTTTTATTTATTTTTATTTATTTATGTATTTATTTATTTTTATTTATTTATTTATTTATTTTTTGAGTAAAGACATTTAGCAGCTCATCCAAGAAGCTTTTTCAGTTCTGGTCAAATTGCCGGTGGACACTGCCTTATATCTTCCTGAAGGAAGGAGCTAGCTACACTTCACTACCTTTGTCCCGCTGACAGAATAAACTTTTTCTTTGTTATACAGAACATCTGCTTTGATTTTGTGAGAAGATTCATGATATACCATGTAATGTGTACTTTTATTGCTTTATTGTCATACTTCAAGTGCAGTGAATCAGAGCTAAGACTTTATGAGATCAATGTACATATACCTCCAGTGGATACAGAAACAGGTGGACTGATGGATCCTGTTGTGGAAACAATGGAGGGGCTCACAGATGGCATTGCTGTGGTTAGAGCTGTAACTGGGGCAGATGAAGATGTTAACACTTGGGAATTTGCTGTAATAAGAGTTGTGCTGGTTGTTGCTGTGACTACTTTAGCTGTGGTTGTAGGCTGTGGTGTAGTACTGATAGTGACAGATGGTGATGGAGAATGGGCTGTAGTGGTTGTAGTTACAGCTCCAGTTGTTGTGGTTGCCGTAGCAGTGGTTGTAGTTACAGCTCCAGATGTGGTGGGTGCAGCAGTGGTTGTAGTTACAGCTCCAGTTGTTGTGGTTGCCATAGCAGTGTTTGTAGTTACAGCTCCAGATGTGGTGGGTGCAGCAGTGGTTGTAGTTACAGCTCCAGTTGTTGTGGGTGCAGCAGTGGTTGTAGTTACAGCTCCAGTTGTTGTGGTTGCCGTAGCCGTGGTTGTAGTTACAGCTCCAGATGTGGTGGGTGCAGCAGTGGTTGTAGTTAGAGCTCCAGTTGTTGTGGGTGCAGCAGTGGTTGTAGTTACAGCTCCAGTTGTTGTGGTTGCCGTAGCCGTGGTTGTAGTTACAGCTCCAGATGTTGTGGTTGCCGTAGCCGTGGTTGTAGTTACAGCTCCAGATGTGGTGGGTGCAGCAGTGGTTGTAGTTACAGCTCCAGTTGTTGTGGGTGCAGCAGTGGTTGTAGTTACAGCTCCAGTTGTTGTGGTTGCCGTAGCCGTGGTTGTAGTTACAGCTCCAGTTGTTGTGGGTGCAGCAGTGGTTGTAGTTACAGCTCCAGTTGTTGTGGTTGCCGTAGCCGTGGTTGTAGTTACAGCTCCAGATGTGGTGGGTGCAGCAGTGGTTGTAGTTAGAGCTCCAGTTGTTGTGGGTGCAGCAGTGGTTGTAGTTACAGCTCCAGTTGTTGTGGGTGCAGCAGTGGTTGTAGTTACAGCTCCAGTTGTTGTGGGTGCAGCAGTGGTTGTAGTTAGAGCTCCAGTTGTTGTGGGTGCAGCAGTGGTTGTAGTTACAGCTCCAGTTGTTGTGGGTGCAGCAGTGGTTGTAGTTAGAGCTCCAGTTGTTGTGGGTGCAGCAGTGGTTGTAGTTAGAGCTCCAGTTGTTGTGGGTGCAGCAGTGGTTGTAGTTACAGCTCCAGTTGTTGTGGTTGCCGTAGCCGTGGTTGTAGTTACAGCTCCAGATGTGGTGGGTGCAGCAGTGGTTGTTGGTGGAGGTCCAGATGATGTGGCTGTGTGACGAGGCACAAGTGGGGCTAGTTTTAGTTGCTTTAATTGTGTGTTTTAAATTGCATGTTTTTATTTTGTTTTTTTTAATTTGCTTCTTTAGCATAATTTTAGCTTTCCCCTCCCAGCTTGTTGCATAGACATGAGATCCCCACAGCAATCCAAGCTTGCAATCATTCACACCGGCTCAGTGTTGCGACAGAGAAAAGATAAATGTGCAAGTGACAGTGGCATACAGAAGAGAGGTGCAGGAGATAGACCCAAGGTTTAGAAGTTTTGTTTTGTTTTTAGCAAATTTAGCTGACATTTTTATAACCAAATTAGAAAAAGATAGAGAAATAACACTGCAAAAATATGCAATGAAAACAGCACGTACAATAATAAAATTATTGCTGGATTGTAATTGTTAATGTTTATATTAGTGTTCTAATTGTTAGTGTTAGTAAATAGTCTGTCATTGCCTAAAGCAGCCATTCTTAAACTCTCAGATAATTAACTGGAGGGATCACCAATTTTGGTAAAATGGTTTTCACTGGAGCTATACCTGGTCGCCCCAGACCAACAGACATGGAGCTGCTGTTTTAATATTTGAGTTTCTTTATTCTCCATTTTAATTTAATCTTTTAGTTTGTTTTATTCAGACTTTTTAATCATGTCATTATTTAAATTAAATTTTATTGTAATACATTATTTATTTATTTATTTTAACTAGAGCATTTGTATTGTTACACCACCATGCTATCCAAACTTTTTTTTTTTTTAACCATACAATGTATGGTAAAACACATGAAAAATTTACAATAAACCCCAACCTGTAACAGTTGTGGCTGCAATAGTTGTAATACCTCCAGTTGAGGTGGGCATGGCTGTAGTGGTTGCAGTTACAGTTGTGGTGGGCATGGCTGTAGTGGTTGCAGTTACAGTTGTGGTGGGCATGGCTGTAGTGGTTGCAGTTACAGTTGAGGTGGGCATGGCTGTGGTTGTAGAAGCAGCTGCAGATGAGGCGGCTGTGGTAACTGCCCCGAAAACTGGTGATATGAGCAGAAGTAATCCTAAAAGGAACAGATGCCAGTTCCCTATAAATTAAATTAAAGAAGAAACATAATGAGGAAAGAGGATATAACTGTACTAAGACTGTATTGTGTTGTTTAGCATGATTAATACCTCCACATCATTTCAATGTTTTGAAGTGAAACAGTGAAGACTATATTCATTGATTAAATTCTCTGTGTCATTTTTTATGTTGCTTTACTGATAGTTTTTCAATTGCTGTGAGTTGCACAGAATATAAAACAATAATAGTTAATAATGAAGATAAGCTGAAGATGAAGTCAAGATAAATTAAATGATTACTTAAAACCCCTTCCACAAAGGCAACCTGGGAGGAGCAGTGAGTTTCAAATCTTGATGCAAAGCTAAGCTCTTGTAACTCCCGTTAAGAAATGGAACAGTGGATAACATGCACATGTAGAGCATTTCTAATAGAGGAGGAAATCAGTGCAACATTGCAGGTTAGAGTCTATTTTGTATTACTAGTGCATTTTCTCAATCAAATGTTCATTTTACCAAATTCTAACTTTGCATAATGATCTTTTCTTTAGCCTAAATAATTTGGCATAGTATATCGTATACAATACTGCAGATAATTACCTTTTAAAGAAGTCAAAGCCATTGTAGAACCCCAGACAGTGTTTGATCCAGCCTATAAAAACATGACACCAATTAAAATGCACCCTCACAAAATGACATTTGACATGACAAAATCACAGTCTGATGTCAACTGCAATGCAAATTCTTTACCTAAGTTTTCTGAATTACAACTGGGTTAATTCATTGAGCAGTCCTTTTTGATCTGTGGCTTCCCCTTTTTACAATGCCCAAATTGTTCAAAGAAAACTGATCTCATAATTGTAAGTTAGCTCAATTACTGTCAAAAAGGGAAGGCAAATTTCAAAACAATTCCTTTATATTTCTGTTTGCTTCCACTTATTTACAGTTAGATGCTTTATATAAAAATCTGCACTGTGGTGATGGTAATTACCAGTAATATTAACCCGAGGTGACACCATAGGTAATGTGGTAGAGTTTATTAGAGAACGCAATTAAATATGTTTGTTCCTCGGAATGGACCCCTTGGGAAATGGTGATGGTTTGTTTTTTTACTCTTTCCCTTGGATCCCAGCTCAGCCTCCTGTGGCCCACTCACTGTGGAAACAGCAATGACAACAGTGGCCATTTTGATATCCTTAAAATGGGCTTTTATGTAAACATAGACATTTTATAAATAAACATGAATAATTTAAAGATTCTAGTGAGTAAAAATACCTGAAGACAACAGAAAAGAACAAGAGAAGTATAGAGAACATAAAAAACATAAATGTCAGATATTACAGTAAAAATACATAAGTGAACTGAAGTAAAGACTGATGTAAGACAGTGAATTTTAGGTTCAATAGTCATTTTAAATTTCTTTCTTTTTATTCAGAAAAAATATATTGATGCCTATTGATGCCGTCCACAGATGCTCCACGAAAAGGATGCCAAAACATGTCAGCTAATTAAATATTAAAACTATTAAATAGATCATTCAATGGAAAAAAAAAGAAGTTATCCAGAGGCTTTCCAAAACAAAATGACTTTATACATGTTAGATCCTGTAAAACCATAACATTTCAGGTTAGTCTTTAAAGTAGAGTGAAAAAGTACCTTAAAATACTGACGCAAATAGCTATAAGCAACTTCTACTCTATAATAAACAAAATAATTGCTTACTTTCTTTGCTACAGTGGTCCTGATCTTTATGACAAAACACCAACATCCACTATAATGTCGCCAAATTCAAATGACCAAAAAAAGTCCAACCGACCAGTGGACTCACCTGTCTTACTTTCTGGCCGCTCAAAGTCAGCTGCAGTTGAAGCTGAATGAGTCCTTTCTGTATAGTTACCTCTATGGTTAGCCCCGCGTCGCGTCACCTCCCAGCCTTCACTTCCTGCTGACTGCCCTCGAGTAGAAATAAGTGGAGTCTCTCACCTTCTTCACTGTACGTATCATCCCAAGAGAAGAAGGAGGCTGCGTGCTACTGGTTGCTGGGTGGGTCTAAAGATGCTTGCAGTTTGATGTCCTAATAACTGGAGGGAAAATATATTAGTTATATTAGTATTAGTTTTTCTGCAATTAAGGTATAAAACAACATTTCCCATATAATCTATGAGTTGCATGTGTGGATATTGTGTTACGTTTTATTACAGTGTTAAGCTTGTTCTAAGGTTGACAAAAACTCTCCTCCCTGCAATTAAAGATTTACAAAAATAGCTGGGTGGATTAAGTGGTTTTTTTTGTTTTTTGTTTTTTTCTTCATTCAGAGTGTTCAGGTGAGATTTCATTTCCTGATACACTGATTGTATAGGGAACCTCTTGGTTTCTGTTCAACACAATGTGAAATCAGAGCCCCTCTTTCCACCAGCTATAAAGCCCCCACACACTACAATTACCTCTTTGTGGCCTAAAGAAAAGTAGAATTCTCGGGCAGCACACGAAAGGCATTGCACAATTCAGGTGAGAGAAGCTGTCTGTGTTCTGTTCATTGAAACTGAAAAGAGAGGGAAAAATGAAATCATTGAAGAATTTTGTCAAGTTGGTGAGATATCAAATTAACACAATATCAAATTCAGAGAGCACACATTTTTCGTGTTATGTAAGGAGTCATATGCTCTAATTCACTGTGACAACGATTATTCCTGATGGCAATGGTACAGATAAAAAACAAATATTTTTTTTGGTAAAGGACCCATATTATGATATTTTTTGTGTTATTATCTTGTTTCTTCATCACAAACATTCCCATTGTGTTTTGTTTCATTTACACATGTTTAACGCAGAAACCCTGTATTTAGTTCTTCTCTCAAACGGAAAACAATCTGTTCCACACTGTGATATCATGTGGTGATACAGTGAGTACTCCACTGTGTTTTTAAACTTAGTACACCTTAATCGTGTGGATGATTTCAGCAGTAATATTGCCAATCTCTACTGTACAAAATGTGAAAGATTGCTGTTAATTTAAAAAAAAAAAAAAAAAAAAAGCTTCATGACGTCACAAGGTGGACCAGAGCATTTTGAGCTTTGGAGCTGTACACAGTCTAATAATGCAGGATCACTCAAATGTGTGATTGGAACAAAACATAACTCCTGGTATGTTTTTGAAGAGGTAACAGCATTCTTACATGGTTAAAAGCTCACAAGAGTACATTTTGTGTAATATAGGACCTTTAATTAGAAATTGTTTATTTTACAATAGAAAAGATATACTGTATACTTGTAACTATGTACTATTGCAGGTGAAGAGAAACCACCAAATGAACAGCGCATTTCTGAAAAGTCTTCTGACCATCACTATTATTCTCTGCATGGATAACCTGGAATGACTCATGGCACGGACATAAGCTGCAGAGTGTCTATTGATGGACATGTTTACAGCGCACACATGACCTGACCAGGTACATTTATGAGGCTTTCACTCACAACTCGCCCTGAACCATATTCCCTGTAGGCTCACATTTCACCTGAATTCCCAGTGTCATCTGAAACCCAAAGTCACTCGCACTGTATAATCAACAGAAGAAGTGCCTCCATGCAATTGATTTCGGAAATATATATGGTCAGTATGGTTTCAGTAAAAATAACACAAATGCAGCAGCGAAAAGTGACAAAAAGAGAATAGATGACCACAAATGTACTAATGTGTCTATGGGCTTGTCACTGTAAAATTTTAATTTAAATATCAATTTAATTATATGGGCTTGGCACTGTAGAATTTAAAATCAAATTTAATTCTGCAGTGCCAAGCCCATAGACACACTGGTATATTTGCTATCACCTCTTCGTCACCTTTCACTGCTGCATTTGTGTTGTGTTTTACTCAAACCATACTGACCATATGTATATTTCCGAACTCAGTTGCACTGAGGCACTTCTCCCCTTGAATTAAATTCAAATTTAAATGTAATGTTTAATTTTAATTTTAATTTTATTAAAAGCATGAATAAAATAAAGTAGTAAATTGTTACCATATATTTTCATCACTGCATACTGTGATGGGATGATGGTGATGATGGGATGGTAATATGGAGAAAGAGTCTTGCCTAAAGGCTCAACAACAAAATTGGGTCAGTGAGTAAACCAGATACATTCAAACTACATTCAAGTACAAAATACTTGATAATGACAAAACAATACGAGGAAAGTGTAGTTGACAATCCCTTCTTTACTTCCGGTAGGACTCAACAAATCAAATTAAGTAGACTGGATGGAAGTGAACTCTTTAACGTGTTTAACTAAGAAGATTAGACTAGCCAGATTTAGCTAGCCAGCAGTTGTCAGCAGCACTGTCCACACACACACACAGCCTGTGGTGCATAGCAACAGGTCAGGGGAGCCGCGGACTTTCACAAAGGACTGACGCCCATTGAGCAAATATGAACTAGAGCGATTTATGATGACATCACCCTCTCTACCAGTTAGTCCAATACAAAGGTTAGTGTTTATGTAGTTCATATTTATGCATTCAAACTACATTATTGTTATTGTTTACTGGTTTATGTATTAGGGTTGTCATAAGTACTGAAAATCACACACTAATCAATATTAAAACTAGTGTAGAATCTATATACTACTATAAACTATAATGATACTAAAAATGTCATATTCACATTACAGAAAGTTTCATAATGATCTTGACCTGTATCAGAGCAAGTATAAGATCACATAGACTAGTATATGCCTATGGACCACATAGTAGTATAAAAATTTGATTCTACTGAAGAGTTTTTGTTATTGTCATGGTATCAAAATCAGTATTAGTACCTTGACAACACTATTACGTAAACATGTTTCTGTTTGTAATACCTAGAGACATTCTTCTCTGTACAGTAATGTAAGGCTATGCTGCCATGCTCTTCCACAATGGCCTATGTCCTGTGGCCTGTTTGTACATGGACATTCAAGGGGATTCTGTGCGCCTGCAGGTTCCTCTGGGTGAGTGTGTCAAAGGAATAGTACTGTATAACTTAATATATACTTTAACTTTAGTGATTTGTAACTTTTCATTTTCAATGCAGATCTGTCCATATAATGCCGTTCAGTTCTTGCCACGAGAAAGACGCAAAATCAACTACACACAGGGACAGTCAATAGCAAATAAAGGTAAGAATCTTCACATAAGAAATATATGCAGTATATGCAGTAAATATAATAAATACAATATATTACATACTACAACACTAGCTATAAGGTGTCAGAAAAGGAATAAACTGTGAGTTTTAGTGCAAGTGTGGATTTTATGTGTGAACTGAAGGCTTAAAGCTGAACTGAACAATATCAAAACTGTGTACTTTTACTTTATAAACATTATTAAGGGTCAAGCATTGGCCACTGTGCTGTGCCAGTTCAGTTTTGGCAGTGTCTGCTTGTCTGATGATATTGCTTATAAAAGTTTTAATAGTTGATGATGCTTCTACAATGAGTCTGTTAGGAATTAGAAACATCGTAGACTTGAACTCTTCCTTTAAAATTATGATTTGATAATGATATGATTTCTGTTCTATGCTCTGGAGGTGGAAGGTGGAAACCTTGTGATGTCATGAAGCTGTAGTTTTCAAGTTAACAGCCCTTTTTTTTTTTTACCTTTTGTTTAGTAAATACAGGAAATTCCAGGGCTGAAATAATCCAGTGATTCTAGTGAAAGGGTAGGTTTCACTAGAATTTAAAAGTTTAAAAACACAGTGGAGCACTTCCTATATTAGCACATGACGTCATAAGGTGGAACAGAGTGTTTTCCATTTGAGAGAAGAACTCAGGAATCCTGCATTAAACATGTGCAGAAGAAAACAAACAAAATTCTAGGTCCTGATGAGGAAACAACATTATAACATTGATCAGAAAATAGCATAATAGTAATGCCCAGCCTGCTTAGCTTCTGAGATCTGACAGGATCAGGCTTTGACAAGCTGGTATGGCCATAATTGAGTTGTACTTTTTTAGTATTCCTTTTATCTACACATTAAAGGATAGGGTATTTAATATGAAGTTGAATGATGCTCATTATAAATGGTTTGACATCTAAATAACAAATTATATATGTGAACCAGTGTTAAAATATGTAGGAATTAAAAAAAAAAAAAAAAGTGAGCTGAATCAAATACTCCTACACTGAAAATGTGACTGTGCAGAGAATGATGGGAAAAATAATAATAAAAAGTAAATGCAAGGGTTGGGGCAGTTTTTGTTTTTATGTGTAGCTGTTTTAGATTTCCAAATGCAAGTTGTGTTGATTAATTTTAATATGTTTAAAAAATATATATGTATAAATATTAACTTTTGTGTAACAAGGCTATGAATGCAAAGTCCCTGGCACCATACCCGGGAGCCCTGACCATACCACAGAACTCCACAATAGAGTGACCAAGACAGAGAGGGAGATCCTGGCCCTGAAGACCAGAATAGCCTGTGAGAGGGCATCATGGGAGCGCAGGTTTGCAGAGCTGCAGAGAAAACAGGATCACCTCCTCACCCAGGTCTGTTCAGATGCACTGTTAAGAGTGAGTGTGTGTGTGCATGCATGCGTGCATGTGTGTCCGTGTGTATATGTGTGTCTGTATTTATGTGAATCATATGAATCACCTCATGACTGTTGCCCTGATATCCTCAGATGGCCTCTGGAGGAGTGCAGGAAGTGGGGAGTGAATCTGGACTGGACAATAGCGAGGTCTTTGAGGAAAGCACAAGTAAATTATTATATATATATATATATATATATATATATATATATATATATATATATATATATATATATATATATATATATATATATATATATATATATATATATATTTTTTTTTTTTTTTTTTATTATAGGTCTGGATCTGCAATTAGCAAATCACAAAGGGCAAGGGTTTTTGAAGTCGCCAACCATACTTTCAACAGACAACATAATATCCTGTCTTATTCTTTTTAAAAGCACTAGATCTGTACATGCTCTGAAAAATATGTGGTTCTTGTATTGCTTAGTTCATAGGCCCATTTTCCTAGATGTGTTTGAAATGAGATATTAGATATCACTATTTGATATGTTCCCCAATTGTACAGCCAGAAAGTATTGACCTAGGACAGAGCATATTAATCAGTGTGTACAAGCAGCTTCAACACAAATATGCCTGAGTTAACACAGTAGCTAGATGTGCTGTCCTAAAGCATATAAAAACATTTAAACATTCAGTTAGACAACAGCAGATCCATTACTTATCTGAGACACTACAAAGAAAGTAGAGTAAAACAGTCATAAGTAAAAGTTTAAAAAAATCCATGATCTACTGAGTAGTTAATAAATATTCACATTTCTTGAGCTTGTCAAGTTTAGTAATGACTTATGTTGTCTGAATGCTAACAGGTGAAGTGTCAGATAACAGTGTCAGCGAATACTCCTGTGCATCCTCAGACAAGAGCTCAAGACTGTCCTCCTCTTCATTGTCTATTACCAGGTAGAAAAACACACATATTTCTCATTGTTACTAAGACATGGCGCTGGATGCCCCAATCCAGCTTTTCCCGTTGTAGTACTGATTTCTGCTGGTATGCTTTCAAGTATCTGCCAATACAGGATGTCGATATAGACTGAAAATAAAATTTATTTCATTTTACTTAATTAACATGTACCAAAAGTAATCCAAATGTGTATATAGCTATTGTTTATACTTCAGCTAACTACAGAAAATCGTTGTGTACCGGTAAATAGAAATTCAAACATTATAAAACTTCCTGGGCTGAGTTCGACCAGTAAATACATCACATTATATGCTGAAGCAAAATTTTCTGAATACGTGCGAATATCTGATACCAATCTACCAATCTCTAGCTATGACCATAAAATATGATACTGAAAAATGAAATGAGCTCATGAGTGACAATGCAGTGTGTTGACGAAATTGTCTTGTTGTGATTTAATGTGTTTAAAGCAGCGTTATGCTCAAATACAAAGCCTATTCCCCACTTCTCCTATTGAGCTGTCTTTGTCATGCTATGAGTGAGTAATAGGCAGATTTAACCAATCATTGTGAAGTATGAACTCTAAGATCAGTACAGCAGCTAGCTTTAGATTTCAAGTTAAGTCAATACAAAGTTGTTAAATGATAATGTCACTTTCAGGTTAAACTGACAACTTCACAGCTGCTCTAGCTTTATTTTTGGAAGTGACACACTCCAGTAAACAGAGACAGTGTGTATATCAACTGAGATAAAATAAAAAAGTGTGATCTATGCTTTAAAAATGTCACATTAACTTTAAGAACATGAAGTTATCTCCACTTTTTGAAATTGATAGTGTGTGTTTCTGTTTTGTTTTTTTGCATATTAAAACTAAGCTTAATGCTTTTCTACATGTAAATGAGCCCAAGTCAGCCACACTGATTACTTCTAATCTTCAGTCCACTGTACAACCAATCTGACTATTTTTGAATGTCTTAAATTTGACTTTACAAGTGTCTTAATTTACAGTTAAAAATAATGAGTAGCCTCATAGGTCCCAGTTATTTATTTATTTATTTTTATTGTGAAAGGCTTTATAAAGCTACATATTACTATTCATTTCTTTCCATTTCCATTTATTTTCATATGTAATGTATTTTTGTAACTCCTCAATCTGAACAATTGTTCTGCAATCGTCTTCACAAATCAAAGCTTTCATTATCAACATTGTAAGTTTATGGCTGTCATATTTCCCACATTCTCACATATCAGTCTCTTTCTCAGTGTGAAGTCTTCCCCTCACCGTGTGTTTGTGCCTCACTCTGCTCTGGACCTGAGGTTGGGGCACAGGGTCAGGATCATGCTGCCATCTGGTCGCATCAGCACAGGAGCAGTGCGTTTCATCGGTCACCTGCAGGGGGAGGAAGAGCTCCACCTGGGCATTGAACTGCACTCTCCAGACCATGGATTAAGAGATGGCAGCCACAGGGGGCAATGCTACTTTGAATGGTGACTTTTTTTTGGGATAATCTGTTGAAAAAGAAATGGGGAGTCACAGATGAACTATTTTCTTATGAGCTTTAAGACATGTTAGAATGCAGTTACCTCATTAAAAAACATACCTGGAGTTGTGTTTTGTTTCATCCACACGTTTGAGTAATCTTTTATTATTACTCTTTCTACATCAGCAAGCTCAAAATGCTTTTTTCCACTGAATGATGTCACGTAGTGGTAGTTTTCAAGTTAATGGCTACCTTTTACATTTAGTTTAGAAGAGATCGGCAATTCCAGGGCTGAAATAATCCAATTCTAGTGAAGTTGTATCAAGTTTAAAATCACAGTGTAGCACTTCCTGTATTACCACATGACATCACAAGGTGGAACAAAGTGTTTTCTGTTTATTTTCTTAGCCTAAAAATGCAGAGTGTGTTAAACATGTGTGAATGAAACAAAACACAACTCCAGATATGTTCTTGATGATGAAACAGTATAGTAACATAGATCAAAAAATTGTTTAATATGAGCCCTTCAACTTTTCTGGTGGAAGGTCTGATATAGGCTTGTTACCTTGGAGATGTTGTTTTGCCTACAATATTCCAAAGTATGACATTAAATTCATCCTGGAAGACAGGCCAGGTCAAGTTAAAGGTCAGAGGCGACTCCACCCACGTGGTGGTGGAGGTATTACTCAAGGTATTATTGTAGCGTATTTGTATTTAGATAAGTTAAATGATATGTGCTCCTGTGGGATATTCCAAGCAACGCCTTGTCAGTATTATACAGGATAAGAACAGGTGGCATACCCTTCACCAGAAAATAACATAGTGCATCTTTAAAAGACTTTCAGTATTCATGATTGGGTTTTGGTTATTTGGGTGGAAAATTCCTAGGATAATAACATTTAAAGCCATAGGATAAAATATTGCTAAACATTCAATACAACATGCATTACGTTTTATATGTACTTATATGCATTTTGAATTTTTTCTGTCTCTTGCAGCAAACCTGGCTATGGTGCCTTTGTACCATTCCACAAACTCCTTATGGCCTGGGAATAATGACGGACACCACTGAAAACTATGGACTTTGATTCCTGGAGCATTGGCTCACCTGAAGAAAAAAAAAAAAAGATTATTAATACAAGAAATCTTTTCAAATGTGAACATGAAAAGACAATAAAAATGACCTGATGTGAAAATGAAAGGTGAGAATGTTCAAGTCATGTCTGTACAGACTACAGTGACTCATGGTACTGGAATTTAGAGTTTATCAGTTAAAAGACTTGTTTTGATGAGTTGTTTTATTGTATTGCTTTTATTACTTATTTTACTTTTTCTATTTTTGTCCAATGATTTACTTTTTCTTTGTTCAATTGTTTAAATTATTTCCAAATGTTTTCCAAAAGATTACAAACCGCTTTAGACAAATCTGCTGCTTAAATCAGTAATCTGGTGATGTGTTGTGGCACAATGAACAAAGCATTTATCACTCAATTATAATTGATATGAAATGAATTATATATAAGATGTCTTTAAATGCTTTTTAAATTGCTGCTTGTAATGGTAAATCCCCTACATCACGTCATTTCTTTCATTATCTATTCACAAAACAAAATGCCCCTTTTTTCAAAGAAGCCATTAAAGCTTGGCCCCAGGGAGTGTCACTCCATGCAAATCTCTCATCATATATTACCCACTGGAATTCTTTATCCTGTTTCCTTGTATTACCTTTGCATCTCATTAAATAGATAGTATTTCCATGGAAGAATAAGATCTCTTAATAATAAGATTCTTATTATAAATGCATGAGTATTACATATATTTGCTCTCAGAATTTCTTCAAAGTTTGCAAATGCAGTTGTATTGGATATTTTAAATTTACAAATAAAGACTGACATGGCATTTCAAATTTATATTCTCATTTTCTTGAAAGCAGCAGACAGTATAGGGACAAAATGAACATGTTTCTGCAAAAGTAGAGTTAGAGCAAGAACTGTAGATTTTCTTTACTACTTCAAAGAGACAGAGAGACGTGTTGTCTCACGTGTTGCACTATTGTTTTTCAGTAGCGCCCATAGTTGGTTCAGTTGACATTGTTGAACCCCTTAGGGACAGGCTTGGAAATACAGACAAATATAGACATATTCAGTGACCTTTTCTCCCAAACATTCACACGAAATGAGTTTGTGATTTGTTCAAGCTTGTAACGTGAGCTGGCAAGTTGAAAATCCTTAGGCCTACATAGAGGAAATGGCTAAGGTCTGCTTAGGAAATGTTTGAAGGGCATGTTATGTTATCTTGATTAATTGAAAGAATTTTTCACTTTAAAATGTATTTATTTGTTTTATTTAAATTATATTTACATTACATTCATTGATTACATTTATAGTTTGAAAACTAAAATCCATTACAAAGTTCATAATTATTTGTTTTTAGACATGTAGTACCATGGTCACACAAATACCTGTGTATGCACAACCTTTTATGGGAGCATGTTGTGAAACTAAATCTTGTTCCTGGTACAAGAGAAAGGACAAAGACCATATCAGTTTTGGATTCTGGTAAAACTGCGCTACTTCCTTGAAGAATTTATTTTGCATTCTGTCATGAATGTAATATTGAGTCATAACTTGGCAGCCTTTATTTAGAATTAAATTAAGGCTGACAATATATGGTAAAAAAATCACTAAAACAGATCAATAATACTCATAGTCATCATGAGAACTTCCATCAATAACAACCTGACACAATATGTATCAACAGTACACGCTCTAGAAACACGCTTCTAGAGAATTGTTGGAATTAAAACACACTCCATCTTACATTTGACACTAGGGCCATACGACCATTTTCACATAAATTGTTCTGTATTAAAAACAAAACAATAAAAAAATCTTGTCACAAGGCTCATATGCATGCATAGTGGTCTCAAATCTGAATAAATACATCAGCATTTGATACAAAACATATTGCCAATTCTTTATTCAAATCTGTGCTAATGTAATACAGACGGTAATAATTATACAATCAGTGTTCCTTATTGGAAAATTCCCTTCTGATTCTTCACTTTCAATATCTCTCCTGCCAGTATTTCAGGGTCCATTAGATTTGGGAACATGTTCATAACAATATCGACATCTTTGGGGTTAAAAATGGCTTGTAACCGACTGCGTAGTTCCATCTTTGGGTCATCAGTGGAAGCTGGCGGTGGCCTTAGGTGGTACTGGGGGTGACTGTAAGGGCTGCTGGGGTGAAGGGAATGAGCTGTGCCTGGGTTACTTGTCCTCGCTTGTGGCATGCAACTGTACGGATCAGACCAATAATTCTGGTCAGGATGAGGTGCTCTGCTGTACTGAAGATGGACTGGTAGGCTGCCTTTATTTGGAATACTGCACGGATAAGCAAAGGAGTTGTATTTGGGATGTTCCTCCATGTTTCTGGCAGGCTGCTGTCCAGTGGATAAGGGAAGCATGAAAGAACAGAAGTTTTTCTCCTGCACAGAGGCATGTCTGGATCCAGATGCGGCCATGCTTTGTTGTTGGGACCAGAGCCGGTGGGAGTTGCTATGGCTGTCGTAAGAGCCCAGGCCAGAGTCCAGGTACTCCTGAGAGCCGTTGGCATAGTAATGACTGTGCATGAGCTGAGGTTGCCCTGCCCACTCACTCTGACTGTGCTCCCCACTAAGTTGTATGTGATTCTGACTGCTCCCATGAGAGTCTCTGTACAAGAGGACATTTTCACTAACCTGGATGTTTTTGACAGGATCTGCATCTCCCAAATAGAACTTTGGTGATGATCGGGCACTTGGTTCATTTGAGGAAATCTGGGCTTTTTCTCTCAGTTCATCAGCCACAGACATGTAAGACTGGTTGGTCCGCTCTGGGTGATAGAACTTGCATTTGATGCCGTAAGTGCACTTTTTGTCTGCAAAAGAAAAAAAAATAAAACTTTTCAGCTTCAGTGGATGGTTTCTAAATTGAAGATTGTAGCACAAAATTGGATTTCTGAGGCTGAATACATAACAGCGCAGCATGATAAGATCTTAGTTGCTTTTGGCTTTATGCTGCAATACAATATAGAGCATCTTCACATTTAATCAGTTCAGTATCAAAACAGATTCTAACTGAACTTATGTGGAAAAACACTTGCTCTAACTCAGGACAATGGCAGAACCAAAACAGACAACAGTCAACCAGTTATTTATGTTACAAAAGGTAAGGGAAAACAGGTTAAACCTCACCGTAGGGACAAAGTTGTCTCTTCTGTTCTATAGGCAGGGGCTTTTTTCTGAGGAAGTTGTCAAGAGTGGGGCCATGGCGACCAAGAGGGTCATCTGGGGGCATGAATCTGAAAAAAAAAAAAACCACACACACACGGACACAGTTACTTGCATGTAGCATATTAGTCATGGAAGAAGCGATTTGTTTGACTAATTACACACCAGAGAATATCAGGCTTGCAATCGCATTAATTATTTATGAGGCAGTGCTAAAACAGGACAGGCCCTTCCAGTGCCTCATAGCTCACCTGTCATTCACAAATGAGTACATCAGAAGCCTCTCTTCAATGCACTTTTTCCACTCCGGTTTTTCTCCTTGGAGGTCACGATAGGTGTCATTGGATACAATCACGGCCTCGGACTCGGACGCTACCTGGACAATGTAGCGATCATCATAACAAACCACTCGCTTGCCCCTGACATGACGAGAAGGAGTGAAGACAAGGATGCCACGGTTTTCAAGCTCTGTCAAGATGCGTTGATCTGAGGAATGAATGAATGAGGAATGAATGAGAATACTTTTACATTACATTTCTTAAGACATTATATTTATGATGTAAAGTACATTCAACAAAACAGGTGTATTACAACTACCCAGAGAAGGTGTTGAATAATAATTAAAGAGCTCATTTTATGCTATCCTTAGTTCTATGCTATAATGTTGTTTCCTCATCACGTACCTGGAGTTGTTTGTTTCATTCACACTTGATTAACACACAAAACTTGCATATTTAGCCTGAGTTTTTCTCTCACACTGAAAACACTCTGTGTCACCTTGTGATGTCATGTGGTAATACACGAAAGTGGTCCATTGTGTTTTTAAAACTGCCAATTGCCAATCTCTGCTGAACAAAATGTAAAAGGTAGCTGTTAATTTTAAAACTACCACTTCATGACATCATAGATCATTTTGAGCTTTATGTAAACAGAATAATAATAAAGGGTTACTCAAACATGTGTGAATGAAACAAAACACAACTCCAGGTATGTTTTTAAGGAGGTTACAGTAGTATAACATGGCTCAAAGTTCAAGTCAATTTTGCGTAATACAGGAACTTTAAATAGTCCAGTAGTAACACATCTCAAGATGTATGTATTCATAGAAAAACACTACTCTTGCCAACAACAGGCACTTCTTTGATTACCAGCTAGAGTGCACTAGAAACCTCACTCTCCCACTAAACAAAAGGACAAGTACAAACAAACCTGTCTAAGGTTTGATATCAAATTACCAAAAAAAAAAGAATGAATGAAAACAGCTTATATTGTGCGTGCTCCAGGATGTAGAAATGATTTCTTAACTTGTGTGTGAATGTAAAGCAGTGATGCACAGATAAAGCACTCAGAGTCTAGTGAGTGTCTTTGTGAAGGCAGTCACCACTTCGAGTTCACGCAGTGCTCAGTCATAAACTAGGTGTGGAAGAACAAATACAGCTGTACTTCCTGATGGGGAATACCCAGCTCCACTGTAGAGCTTTTTTCTGACTTCCTTGTTGAGGGAATAAAAATAATACCTTTGGACAGTTTCACCCAGAAAGAAGGAGAACTCAAGACATGATGTACTGGCTTCTATCCTTTCAATTAGTTTTCCAATATCACAACATCATCACATTCCTTGCTATATTTACAACAATAAAAAAAACAAATATTTGTTTCTGCAAGACTCCAAGGAACATACACCAATAACATAGCATTTGCACTTAAAGGTGCACTATGTAACTCCCCAACTTGTCTCCATGGAGATGTTGTTGCTTGGCTTACAATGTTCCACAGTATGCCATTAAACTTGTCTATCTCTACATCTCAATTAAAAGTCTTGTAATTGAATAAAGCTAGAGAGATAACTTTATTGCCATATCATAGTATTTGTCTCATTGAGACAAGCAGGTACAGATCCCCACCAAAAAGCTAAACAATACACTACAAAAGGGCAAGAACTAACTTACATTTAAAATAATGTAAGTTTACAACAATAGTATCATTATAAACTAATACACTGTATAAAATGTGTTAATCTGTAACTGTTACTGCTTTACATATTAAGTTTCTTACATGTACTGGGTGAATACTGAGAATTTCCCTTCTTTGAAATCAAATGCATGTGTTACACATGACATCCAAACATTTGTTTGCTACTGTGAAACTAATCTTCATACAGATAATTTTGCTTTGAAATTCCTGGCCCAGAATCAAGCAGGAACTCTCACATCCCTTCATTCCAGGAAGAAGAAAATGCAAACTATTTCCTCATAGCAGCAATTTCACTCATTACTCCAGTTCTGTTAATGCTAAACTATGACAGGACCTGCAGTCCTCTTGTGTCTTTGAATGAAAACTCTTAATACAAAGTTGTATTGTATCCTGGCTGTAACCCAAAGTTTCCTTGCTTGTACATTTATATTCTTACCAGTAATGGGGGCAACAGCCCGGGGTTGCTCTTTGCGCCAGGTGGGAACAAACACTTTTATATCATTATGACCTCTGTCCAGGAAAAAGTTCACTGCCAGCTGGATGCCTCTACACGAGAAGATCTCTTTGTTGCCATGACTGTAAAAAAGCAGGTGCAGAAAGTGAGGGAAAAAAATATTATAAAGAAGTTGTTAAAAGTCAGTAGTATGTCTCTGAATCAGTTCTGAGCAAATTTGCATATTTGCGCAGAACAAAACATGCACAGACAGAGTGGGGAGTGCACTTTCAACACCAAACCGTAGAACGTGTTTCAGAGTCCAGAGGAGTACCTGTCTGCACTTTTGTAGAGATAAAGTTGATCATTATCTAGGACTTGGTTACGTCTTCAAGTCTTTAGATTAAGTACTGACAGTTTAAAAAAAAATATATATATATTACAGTATGAATAACATGAGGATTTGTGGTGAAATAAACACTTGCACTTCTCATTCAGTAAATAGGATATAACCTTACCTCATGGCCACATTGCTGCCATCAATAACAATAGGCCTAAGATCCTCATCTGTATGTTTCTTGTGCACAGCTTCTGGCGTGTTTCTGGAAGGTCCAGAGGTCCAGCTGGGAGGCAGGAGAGAGTTCTTGAACCCTGTGCTCCTCTCATCATTTTCTGAATTTGAAATGCAGGGGGCTGCCCGGGCCCCAATCCGAACCAATTCTCCCAGGACCGCGTTGGTGTCAGTGTCTAGGTCTAGCTTCCTCAGGGCAGCCTCCACGTCTTCTGAAGAGTAGCCAAGTTTTCTGAAGAAGTCCACTTTGAGTTGAAGCTCATTGCCATCTGGTTTTGTCAGGTCTGGAGCTGGATTCTTGCAAGGGAGTGCCATTATATATCATCTGATTTTCCTAAACAGAAAAAGTCGTGTTAGATTTACATATAACAGTAAAAAAAAATCTCATCCTGACTACACTGTTACAACTGTCATAGTAAAAATGTTGGAGGATTTGAAGTGGGGCATAGATGATAATTTTCTTAGCAACATTTATTTTATCCGATATCTACTGAACTATTTAGTTTCGTACACCAGACTACAGCCTTGTCTACCGTGTTGTTTAAGATTATAAAGTAATGAATGTTTATGAAGTCTTAAAGATTAGATACAGACAATAGTAGGCTATGGAAAGTAAAGCATGCTGTTATAAATGATAAGATGGGGTAAACAAAAAAGGTAGGCTACAGCATTATGACACAGCTCAAACAGATCAACTTAAATACTATATAATTACTAGCTGACGCAATAACACAAAGCAACTTACTGTATTACTAAACGTTAGTTGGTTAAACATGATCAACGAGACTAAATCTGTTAACACGTTTGAGTAGGCTACAAGTAGGTTAACAAAAGCACTTGAGAAGACAAAAGATAAAGTACATAGCCTACCTGACAGGTGACGGCCAGGTAAACACGACGTAACTGCGGTCGACAGGTAAAGAGAGCGCACTTCGCGACGACGCCAAATATAAGTGCACCGGCTACTTGCACCAGTGTGATCGCTATGCCTCGTGTTTTGTTTTTCCGCAGAAGTCAAAGTTTTCCTGTACAGTAAGTAGGCTGAATGGGTGAATGGGCTTGACTTTTAGGCGCCTCCCTCCTGGGAAATTATTTCTTTCTTCCCTGTTCGTCCAGAGCGTTCAGTCACGGGCGGCGTGCGCAGGCTTCCTGGTGTGTTCCCCTCTCGTGCATTACATTACAGCCCTGGCATAATGTCAGCGTGATGACCGTAAAGTGAAATAATCATGTCAGGAAGGAAGAGGGATGTGTTTGGGCAACTCTAACGACAAAAAAGGTTCATTACGGGTAACTAGGCCTACATGCCGTGTTAAAATAGAATAGAGAGCGTCACTTTGACCGATCAGGGGCCTCTGACGGGCACACAGCTTAGAAACAGGTAGACAGAGGTTGGTTTAAGGGTCCATATTACCATATTTTCTGATCTACCTGTATGCTATAAAGTTGTTTTGTCATCCAAAAAATACATATTTTTTTTTGTTTTTTTTTACACACCCAAACCCGGTATATTTAGGCTGAGTTCTTCTCTCAAGCAGAAAACACTCTGTTCCACCTTGTGATGTCATGCAATGGGGAAGTGCTCCACCGTGTTTTTAAACTTCATACACCTTCATTAGAATCATTTGGATATTTTCAGCCCTGGAATTGCCATCTTTACTGAACTAAAGGTAAAAGGCAGACGTTAACTTGAAAACAACCACTACTTGACATCATAAGGTGGAACAGAGGATTTAATCTTTGGCGATGTATACAGAGTAATATTAAAGAATTACTTAAATGTATCAATGAAACAAAACACAATTCTGGGTATGTTTTTATGTGTTTATTTATTTATTCATTCATTCATCCACTCATTTATTTACAATGGTCACTTGAGAGAAGCTCCTGCAAATACAGTAAATGTGTGATAATGTGTGATCTACCTAAAAACATAGATTTGTATGCAGTCACACAAATAACCTGTCCAGACAAATGAACTGCAGCCTTACCCTTTACACACTCATTCACACACAGGCCTAGACTGGCTGTGTGTGATTTGGCTTCTTTATTAACTATTGTACTATGAGTAAGCCTGTAGGAGACTGGGGCATGTTGTCACACTCTCATTCCTGTCTCTGTCTCTGAAACTAAACTTGACAGAAATGTGTATGTGCATACATACCAAATGAACAAGCAACATCTCAGCTATTTTGGTCTTTTCATTCTATTTCAGTGTCTTGTACACACCCAGAGTTATGAGAATTGAAACACGAGGTTGGACAGATGTGACAACACACCACATTGCAGGGTAAATTATCACACCAATAGGGCAAGTTGTCACACTGATCTTTATCAAACATTTTAAATACTAAATCTAATGGTAGGATAGTTGTGTTTTTGTTTTTTTTTTTAGTTTAGGGATATGCAATCATTGTTTATACAAAAGATTTCACCCAATTATTAAGTGCACAATGTGATGGGGACATGATCTTAGAGGTCAGTTTTTTTTTAATAATGGGGGAAATCCAGTTGTTTTGCTTACAAGACTTGTTGGGCAGGTGTGGACTTATCAATGCTATAATAAATAAAGCTAAACCCTTCTAAACAAAGAAATGCTGTTTGGCTAAGTGAGTGAATATGTGCGTGGGTTCCTTCACATCGGTGCATTTCCTCAGTCATGAAGGCCACACCCATATGCACAATGGCTTATCTACCTGGGATATACAGTAAGAGTCAGCATAAAGGCTTAGATGGCAAAGTTCAGCATGCATTACATACCCACATTGAATCTGCCCCCAGGGGCATACAGGGTTTTATTTGACTGCATGACTCTGACTCATTTTGTAGTATGTAGTCCATGCCGTGCCTGCCTACCTATAAATATGTTTTTAAAAGTTAGACAGTGACATTAAAGCTATTATGAGTCATGAGTTTAGTCATTAAGTCAGTTTAGTCGTTAAGTCAGTTTAGCCATTAGCGCATTTGTCCAGCAGAGGTCACCCTTGCTCTATGTGTGTTACCTATAATGCTATATGGGACCCTGTGGGAGAACTCTGTTTGCAGCTGTTAGTTCTGGATCCGCCTTGAGGTTATCCAGTTCTGCGTGTGGTTGTGTATATGTGTGTGTGGACGGGTGTTCATCGCGTTGCAGGGACTAAAACTTAAGATATACTGTGTAACTTTTCAGGTTGAGATTCTGCTATCATGGAAATGCTATTACTTTGCCTATAATGCTCTACTATATGGTATTAAACTTATATAAGATGCATTTATTTTATTCTAGGTGTTTTCATTGCTAAAAATACCTTTAAAAACTTGCATTCTTATTCTTCTTAGATGACACCAGTAAATTGGCCTGGCAGTGTCACCTGCTTGTTTCTTGGAGACTGAAAAGTCTAATCTCACCTTTGGAATATCAGAGGTAAAACAATAACATCTCCATGGAGATAAGTAACTGGTACGTCCTCTACCAGGAACGTTACATATTGTACCTTTAAAATTGGGCAAGTAAGAATTAAAGGGAAGATTGCTGGGTTACAGATTACATCACAGCATTCTTTAAGACAATATAAATTAATGCATATGGGGGGCAGCTAAAATGAATACTGTTAAAATGCAGTATTATGTTGTACTACAATGAGTTCTACGGTTCAGTCAGTAATTGAAAATACCAGGTTTAACATTTGTGAATTTATCTTTTGGATATTTCATGGTTAAGTACAATGTAATCGAAAGGGAAATCTGGCTCTTGCCCTCCATCTGGGCCAATAACATCATCACATGCTATAATCTGAAAACCACCAGTTAGTATCAGTTTCCAGGAAATGAATGTAAGTCAATGTAATGTCCTCTCAGTGCATGGATACCTAACATGTTTGTTTATCTGTGTGTGTCCGTAAACTGGTCCTTGTGTACAGGGTTAATGGCACAGTCCAGTTGGGATCACACTGCGTGGAGCTGGTTAATGGCATCCAGCGAGTGCAGTTCCGGAGAGTGAAGAAAGCAATCAGGGCTGGCAGCCAGGCTAGTGCTTCCTCTAAGGGCCCACACCACTGGTCTCAGGTGTGAGGAGGGTCCCACATTACTGCAGGGCAATGAGCTGCAGCCACCAACAGTGAGCAGGGCCGAGGTGAGCAGAGACACAGCACTCACCTGTCACATGTGATGGGACACAACACACAAAAGCACTGAGCTGTGGTTTAGTGATGCATTGTCAAATCTGTATTTCACCAAGAGTGTTGCTTACTATGAGGCCTGGGAATCACAGAGCTCCCCATTTGATACAATGCAGGATACATGGCTCACAATATGATATTGTCACAGTATGCCGATATGTGTAATAATCAATATAATGCACATGATATTTTGCTATTTTTAAGAACCAAGTACATTTTAGCAATAATATTTCTTTGTTACACCACTACTTGTGCAAAGTTAATATGAAATACACAAATTTTAATCACCAAAACAGTGAATATGTCAAGTGTATTGCATAAAAAAATTTCCTTCCACTAAAGCACAAAGCAACAAAATTGTAGTCTCACCCCTACTTACAGATAATAACTAGTAAGTTATTAAGTAATTGAGGAAATTGTAGTTTGCAATTGTATTTTTTTGAAAACCTGTATTTGTACTTGTATTTAAGTGTAATTTTGTTCCATTTCATAACAAGTGGGTTACTGAGTACAGTACAAGCCACCATTAATGTTTCACTACCGTATCTGTTCCTGTCTATACCTAAAAAAGGGAACAGTACTGCATCGCCTGTTCTGATTGGCCAGAGCTCAGTGAAGTTGTGATTTGTGATTTAAAACACCTTAATTCAACTTAAAACAGTTTAATTGATCTTGTTTTTAAAAAGATAACTAGTACATAACTAGATAACTAGTACCAATGATAACTGAATATTTAGTCTTGCATTTCTTTAATAGACAGTCAAAGTTGGAGTATTATTAGTTCATTCCCCAATGTGAATACAAAACCATTTAACAGTTTTGGGAAAATAGATATATGTTTAGTTTTATATACACTATATTAAATGACCTTGATTCTCCTTGTGTCCAAAGAAGCTCCTGAAGTCAAAGGCAGTTCGTTCCAAATTTCATCAAAAAAATTATAGATCACTAATCCTTTTTTTGTTGTTATTGTAGCTTCAGTGTACGATAGGCCAGCATTAGCAGAGATTGGATATTTGAAACATCAAACAGCCCTGTCCCTTGCATCTTGGAGAGACTTCGCTCAGCACAAAGCTCTATCTTTTCCCTGCAGGCAGGTGTATTTTGGCAAGCCTTATTAAACCTGAGACAGTTGATCAAATATTCAGCCAGCCTCATTGTGCAGCCCAGAGCTTTTGGATATGGTATTGATAGTGCTTCGCTGATAAAACCCTGAGCTTTGTAGTGTCTCTGCCTCCCACTATCCCTTTCATTGACTGCCCAGGTCAGCCATCCCATCTGTCAGAAGAAAGTAATTTTTGTATGATTTCTTTAAAAGCGAAGCAAAGTAAAGAACAGTCGGCCCTTAACTGGAGTAATCCATCTTGCGCCAATGGTGTCAGAGTGATTCACGGTTTCCAATTTAGCCTTGGTTTGATTCTAAAGCAAATCGGACAGGACAGCTCCACCTTCTGTGCTACCCTCTGTGGCAAGTGCTTTCTAATGAACATATCCCCTAACATTCATCTTCTTCAATTATTACACCGGACACCCCGCCACTTGTCCTACATAGATCAGCAAGCAAAGACCTCCTGGCATTGTGTGTTTAGTGTAGTAACGTTATTGTGTCAAAGCTGCTGTGAATAGAGAGAAAGAGCTGTGAATACTGGACTGAAGCAGATGGGAAGATAACTTGGCAATGATAAGGGAAGGTTGTGATACAGGGTAGATTTTAAGTAAAAGTTACACTGGCAATGTTGAAATAGAAGATAGCTTAAGAAAGTTTATATAGGACTTTGCTCTGCTTTCATAAAATGATTTTGTCTTGAAGAAAAGTAAAAGTAAAGTGTGTTGCCCCATCAAAGTTGAAATTTTATTCTCATCTAAATTTGTCATTAGCTGTTCTTTAATTGTGTGAAAAAATAAACTTTCTCTACCTTTTGTAACTTGTAGGTGCACGGTCAA